GGAAATGGGGTGTTAAATTGCGACTTACTTGGGTCGATGGCTAAATTGGTTAACGTGGTTGTAGGAGGGGGTGTTAAATGAGTGAACACGTACACACGTATGTGAAAGGGCGGCGCTGGTCGAAGGGACGTCGATCATTGTGTTTGTGGATTCGTTGGAATTCATTTCACCGCGACCTTGGACGTCGACGCGCCGTACAAACCAACCGACGAGCGGCAACTGAGCGAGCGAGCGCCGACCTTGAGTATATATACAGCGCGACGGCGCATGCACTGTCAGCTGTCGAATGTTCGAGAAGGGGGAGAAGCGCAACGGCGCATGCGCGCGCGTCAGCTGCCGATGTTCTCGAAGCGCGACGGCGCATGCGCGTGCATCAGCTGTCGATGTTCTCGAAGCGTGACGGCGCATGCGCGCTACATTATACAGCTAGCGAATGTTCGTGAAGAGGAGAAGCGCACGCGATGTGTAGAGGAGGAAGGGTGAACAGATGGTGGAGGAGTGAAGCGCGCGCGGTGTGTAGAGGAGGAAGGGATGCACAGATGGTGGAAGAAGGAGGAGGAAGCTTGCGGACGGCGCCGCACTACAAGCCTCGAGTATTAGATGCTCCGCATCTAAAAGTATCTAGTAACGTTGGTCTGGGCATCATGATAATCTTCATATCGTTTTTGGGCAGCAGCGCCGCGCGCGTTCGTCGTCGGCTCCTTTCAGATGCTCTTCCACGTCGCTCTTCTGCAAGCGTTCTAGCGCGGAGCTGTTGCTTTCAGTTACGCCTCGAGCAACGCTGTCATCACTCGCTGCACGTTCTTGTTTCCTGATGCGTTTTCGCTGTCGCAATGACATTGCTACCTGCCACTGACCATTCTTGGCTTCGTCGTCGCGTTCCTCCGCAGAGTCTTTTTCCTTGTTTTCGGCGTCACTAGTAGATTCCCCTTGTAGCACCTCGTCAGGTGAAAGGAAATCTTCGTTGGCGTCCACCGCAGAGCTCACTTGGGTTTCGATGTCTTGGTCATCTATGTCCATAAGTGCCTGGGCTAATTCCGGGTCGTTGTTCGTTGGGGTTCGGGCAGGTGCAGCGCAACGCGTCGGCCGAGAGCTGGCTGCCAGGACTCCGCGTTCCGCTTCGCCGCGAGGCTTAGCGTGGCGGGTTAGCATGCTCTGCCGAAGGTCTTCACTTCCCAGAGGAAACCGGGATCGCTTGTCCAAAAAGGTGGTGTCAGCGTGTACCTGACGTTTTCCTGCACAATTCCCGTAGTTTCACTGGTAGTCACATGATTTTAACCGCTGCTAGGTACGATGATTGACGGAGCCGATGTGAACGCGTGTGCACTCCTCGGTGCCACCTGGCGGTCTGCACTCATACTCAAGCTTTTTGCGAGCCACCTTGCGTCATTGGTTGGAGCCTTTCTATGGGATTGGAAGACACTGAAAGTTCAACAAAAGTTCCTGAAGCTCCCAAAAAGTTGTGGAGGACTCAGTCTGCGAGATGTTGCGACATTCACGAAGGCACTTGCAGCTAAAACAGTTCACAAGTTGTTTCAGGACAATGACTATCCTGGCCGTAGCTTATTGCTATATTGAACCGGAACTCTTGGAGCCGAATTCATGTCGGAAAGCTACCGGGGACCTCAAGCAGAACACCCACATGCCTTTTATAAGGCAGCAGAGGGCCTCAAGCGTTCGGTTGACGGTGACGCCACCAAAGAATACTTTGCAAACCTCGCACCCGCATGCATTAGCGAAATGTTAATCAGTCGCTCGATCACTGACGAGGAAAAACAGAGATGAAGGCCCAGCGAGTGGAAGAAATGGCGGAACAAGCACGTACCGAAAATAGTTAGAGAATTTGATTGGCTGCGGCGATGAGACGCATTGCCCACTCGTCAGAGATTGTCAAAGTGGGGCGTCGTTCCCGATGACCACTGCCCCTACGGCGGGAAAAGAGAAACAATCCGCCACACGATGTTTGAATGCGTAGCGGCCAAAGGTGTGTGGCACGTCGTGCGTTGTCAATTCGGAGTATCAATTGCTTCGAGTCAATAGCGCAGAAAGGGCTTATTTGAACAAGTCGTACTGTACGTCACAATGGTCGTCTTGTGGCGTCGCCACTGTATGGCCGAAGTACGGCGACGACCCCAACGAGCTGCATACCCAACGTTACAGAAGATTAGAATAATCATGGTCGACGCACAACGTGTGGTACGTCGTGCGTCGTCAATTCGGAGTGTCGATTCCTTCGAGTCCATAGCGCAGAAGGGGATTATTTGAACAAGTCGTACTACACGTCACAATGCTCGTCTTGTGGCGTCGCCACTGTATGGCCGAAGCACGGCGACGACCCCAACGAGCTGCATACCCAATGTTACAGAAGATTAGAATGATCATGGTTCGGTACCTTACCGAACAGATTGAAACTCAGGGTGAAGAAGCCTTTATCAGAAGGTGGCATACACGTTTTATTGAAGTTCGGAATGGAAATATTGAACTTCCTTTACTGCCGTTCTAACTCGAAAAAAATGCTTCTCGTCACACGTAATATGTGAATCTGTTCCAATTTACTGCCTTTTCGCGTTTCTTTTCTCTTTGGTTTTAGAGTGATTCGTTATCTGTGAGAATATTGAAGTGCTGTGTGTTACATCCTGTCTATGTTCTCTTATTTGTACACGCCACTGAAGTGATTTTGTTACACCAGACAGTGTTACTCACGTGAATTGTTGTTACCAGTTTGCAATAAACTTCCCTGTTTCGCCCCTAAAATAATATTGAAAAAAGGAGATGCGAAAGCGTATGTGGGCTGCCCGTGAGAGCGTTGCGGAGCAGTCCAGCGTTGCACGTCTTATGGATGATATGCCTCCACTTCTGATTTTGTGAAAATGTAATGCCACCTATACAAGATGATTTTCGGCTGTCACACAATGGGCTCTTTCTCGTGGACGTCCTTAACTACAGAAAATGCCAAGCACCAAATCATGCTGTGGGTATATTCACAACAGAAAAGATGCACGCCTTCGATGCACTATGGCTTCAGCTATAACGTCGCCGCACGTTAACCCCTTTGCCTCGCAGCATCTTCATTATTATACTGGCACATATATTTACATTGGATTAATTATTGGCGGCAGGCGCGCCGTGTCAGCGCGTCGGAAAATTGTACGTGATGCAGGGTTTTAGTGGAGAAACATGACTGACGGGAGCAGCTCATAAAACGAATGAACACATTGAAGTCAGTGGTCAAACCTCGTACGTAGAATCACTGGATTTGACGAGAAGTCGATGAGGGGAGACGTAGCTCAGCAGTAGTTTTTGCGCTAGCCAACATGATGCAATGGCATCTACAGCAAGGACGGGGACATAGGAATAAGATGAACATACCATCCGCGACTCTTATACTGGTGCTTTGAAGAAGGTCTGAAGCGTGGGCCGATGATCATAGGCAACAAAACGCGCTGTGGCAATGAGCTAGTGGAAAACCGATGGTGGTTTGCGGCTAAAGACTAAACAGACGAGAGAATAAACAGTAGTCTTGTCGCATGCATGCTTCTCATAGGGAAGATCTCGGTAGTCAGACTGTTATAGACAAAATAAGCGAGTAACACCTTCCGGTACAAAGATAGGACAGCGCATGGTCGTCGATGGTAACATTTTTTTGTGCCCATTCGTATGCGTGCCGCATCGTTCCACATCAAATTAGGTGGTGGGGAGTGACTGTGCAAAACGCCAAGCCACAGTAGCTCACCTTATTAAGCTGGATACTTTGAATAGGCCTTCAACAATTACCTTTTTTTCCTGATTGACGTCGCATTGACGAAAGTTCACTGGACGTATACTGTCATTTTCTAAATATTTATTGCACTTCTTGTCTGCGACAATGCGATTCAACGGGCTGAGGGAGCCAAAGAGCCTACCTCATTCCTGTGGAAGGGCCACTTACTTTTGGTGTTATTTTAAAGAAGCCCTTGCTGCATACTTGCGATGACGGGATGAGGTATTAACGATGACGTCATCAGACTTATCGCTCATCACAAACCATTTCTCAATGCTTCTGGATCTCTCGAGGCACGCGTTTTAAACAAAAGAAAAGGTGTAAAATATAAGCGCATTTATTAGAAACAAACGAACCGCAAATAGTTATAACGATCACTGACGTGAGCGAAAATACTATAGAACTATCGAATAACTACCAAGGCGCAACAGCGAGAAAGCTGCTTTGGGAAAAAAAACCCAGGCAAACAAAATAGCGATGGTTCTTTCTGAAAGTGTAGCTGATACCGGAATAGAGCCATGAAATGTAGCCTTAGGGCCCTGCTTCTTTCGCAGGCGCTAGCCAGAACTTCCAGATATGTCGTGCAAGCCAGTGTTGAAAGAAAAGAAAGCTAACGTTTACTGTTCAATCTCTGTTCGAAGACCGAATGCATGCCCACAGTAGCCTTCCGCACCAAATGCGCTCACATGGTAGCCATGGCCTACGCGCTGTTGCTAAAGTCAGGTGGGTGCCATAAAAAATATCAAGTAATAAGTGTTGCCTTAGGCCACTGTTATGTTCAGGATGTAGATCTCCAAGTCTTATTAAAACGGAAGTAGACGACACTGTGGACGGCATTTCTAACAACCTCAGAGAATCGCTTTAACACGAACTTTTCAAACTGGCGATTTATTACGAAGCAGAAATAAAATAAAGGGGCAAGCTAATATGACGTATAATTGCTAGCTGATCAATAATATATTAGCACTATATTCTTAGCACTAAAATCATCATTTCCAAGCATAGAAGTAGCATACGTAATATACGTGGACAGTGGTCATTCAGATCCTGTTACAGGCACAATGCCATCGAGAAATGAGCTGCGGAAGGTACTATATTTGATTTCGCCTTCAGTTACTGCACATTTCTTTACATTTAGTTTGAATGGAAGTCATTCAGACCCAGGAACAGGCATGTTGCCATTTAGCAATGAACCGACGCAGGTTTTTATCTGATTTCGCCTCCCGTTATTGTATTTCAGTTAGCTGGTCTACAAAATGCAAGGAGTATTTTCTAAGATACTGCAGCAACGTTACGAGCACCTTGTTCTGCTACCAGAAAGGTCCTCTGTGCAGCTGCCTATGCTGTAAGTACAGCGGTTTTTTTTTGTTTTTTGTTTGCACAAACCGGAGTACGATTTCCGATCATAGGCACATCATAACAAATTTGTCTTTTTACACAGTGATCGTTCATAATCAATCAAACAGAGTCAGAAAAAAAAGTAAACATATTTGAGTTACCTGTGGGACAAGCTAGCATCCCATATTTCGAAGCGGGCTGCCTCCAGTGTAACAGCAAACATACTCGTAGTGACTTTATAGCAATGTGGTTGCGAAGGGGTTGGCTTTCTGCACGACTGGTGTTAAGGCATTGCTCCGCATCCATTCGTACGCTACGGAGGAATACAAAGAAGGCGACTGCGTAAATCACCGAAAATACGATATCGCTACGCCAGCAATAGCAGATAGCCTCGCTTAGAGGCATAGCCCCCTATTTGTAGAAGTAATGATAAGCTTACTCCTTTCGTTGACAATTATCGGCGGCTCTTTGATCCTTCGGGTAGCCCCTCGTTTACTGGCACAATAGAGAGCATCTCCTTACCGGGGTGCTTGTTTGAGCTGAACATTTGTGCTCATTTTTTCAAAATCTCTCGCACTTCTCTACGATGTAGGTCGTCCTCCTTACACAGAGACGACAGTGCTTTCCGGTGAGAAGGAAAAGAACGAGTGGCGCACGGCGTCAAGCGGACTTATTGAACGGGATAGTTACGATAAGAGCGGAATGCGCCATGCTCGTGTAGCCCGTTCGTTCCCGCCCCCAGTTTGTAATCACACCAGTGGTAAGAAAAGGAAATGAGATTGCGCATTGTTGCATAAACTAAACTTGTACAACTAAAGTTTACATCTGCATTTTAATTAGTTATATATTCGTAGCAGACCCCTCATCTCAAGAATAAAAAGAGCTCTTGCGTCTATTACCAAAATTTTGTGTCTATATATAGCCCGAACAGCGCTCTTAAAGTTTGAAAAATGCTTTTATGAAGCTGCTGCTCTTTTTTGGGAGGGTTTTTGATCTCGCTTAGTTATAATGTTTATATCAGTTAGCGAATGTCTTATTTTATTGCACGAAAAATTTGTGCGCTCGCAATATACGTACCATAGAGAAACACTTAAGCAGGTGTAGTTGCTAGAACCAACGTTTTGAAAACAGGTATAGTTGCTAGAACCAACGTTTTGATTAGTGAACTTATTACTGTTCTTTGTAAAAGTAGTTCGTTGCATGACGCCTCTATTTTGCTCTGAACTTCGATCCTGTGTTCTAAACTTTTCCGTGCATACAAGTTTACTCGCAACCTTCGAAATCATTGATCACGTTTTTCGTTTGTTGAATGCGCAACGTAATGAGCTCGTAAAAGAGTGTTCATACTATTTGCCTTAGATTTAGTAGCACACTCAAATAATTGTCTTGCAGGATGAACTGTAAAATACAAATGAGAAGGTGAATTAGGCATTCGTTCAAGTGCGTAGACTACTTTGGTAAAATTATTTATTCTTAGGCTTGGGTATCACCTCACGAAAAATTTCTTTATTATTCAGATAATAATCATACTTGGGAACTTCTGGATTAAAAAATTATAATTGGTGCTTTATTTTCGACGTACTCAGAAGAAACGCGCGTGTATCTGTCGCGTATTCATTCAGCTGTTATCATGTTACGTTGTGTCATGCCGCACCTACCGGGGCGATGCCCTGCGCATGCGTTCCATACAGGCATATGTATATATTCAGAGTAAATAAAGAATACGGGGGCGTTTGCCCGTTCGTGTTCAACCCGGTGTCGTTCATCACGGAAACCCGAGATGGTGTCAGAAGTGTAGCGCACTGCTTTTCGAGCTATGACGAGTGCAGAAAATACGAGCTTCTGCCAGCCTTTACCGGTACAACCGCCAACGAGCTTCAACTTTGAAAAGGTGTCAGAGTGGCTGGCATGGGTGGAAAACTTCGATGATGGTCGATTTGCTTCCAGCCTGTATGTATACGATGGGGGGACATGCTCGCAACATATTCCGGACCTTTGAATTATCGGAAGAACAGTCAAAGGACTATGAAGTGGTGAAGAACGCTTCGACGCATACTTCGTTGCCACACGGAATTTGGTCTACGATAGTTGTCGTGCTTCGATCTTCGCCAACAAGCTGCAGGTGAATCGGTAGACCAGTACGTGACGGCGTACCCTACGCTGGCAGATAGGTGTGACTATGGTGTGATGAAAAAGAGGATGATCCTCGACCGTTTCGTCGTTCGACTACGGTACTCCAAGCTGTCTGAGACCCTCCAAATGGACGCAACAATGAATCTGAAAACGGCTCTGTCCAGGGCAAAGAACGAAAAAAGCGGTACAACAACAACAACATGGAGCTTTACAGCAGTGCATACCACCAAGCAACCGACCTTCAGTTCGACGCAGTTCATCGAGAAGCTTGCGGGTGGGCAGAGCACCAAGGGTCTACAAGACGTCCGAAAGTTTGCGGCATGTGGCAGAACCCGTCATTGGAAGTCATCGTGTCCTGCAAAAGGAGCAATTGCTACCGGTGCCAACGACGGGGACACTTCGCTGCGGTGTGCCCACAAAGGCAGGATTCACAAATGTCGAAGCAAGTGCATCCGAGGTAGGCCTGTGTAGTATTCGCCGGAGTCATGCTTCGAGTGAGCAATTAGATGGAAAGGGTGTAACGTACTTTGTTGGGACTTTAGCTTGTACGTTTGCAAGAGCTCGCTTTGTTCAAGTCGCTATTGACGGGGGGACCGTATCTGCTAAAGTCGACACAGGAGCAGAGGTAAACGTTGTTCCAGCCTCCTTCCCTGGTGTACCGAAAGATATAGTGCAGTCTAACGTAATTTTAAAGGGGCCAGGCAGTGAAGTGTTAGACCTAAAAAGAAAGTTCACTGCCAATACTCTGTGGAGACGATGTCGGGTTAGGGAGGACCTTTTTGCCGTCAACTCGGCGAGTAATGTCATTTCAGGCTTGCCAGCAATAGAAGCTGTAGGAATTGTGAAATTTGTAGACGAGGCCTCAGTTCATCAAACTGTGCAAACGCGCTTTCCCCTTCTCTATTCCACGGTTTAGGTACCATGAAATGAGAATACTGTATTAGTCTCAAAGAAGACGCAGTGCCCTATGTTATTCACACCGCTCGTCGTAAGCCCATCCCGCTGAGGGATGGCGTGAAATGCGAACTACAGGAAATGCAAAGAAACGGAGTCATTCGTAAAGTTGAAGGGCCGACCAAATGGTGTGCTGGCATAGTGTTCATCTTGAAGCCTTCCGTGCAAGTTAGGATCTGTATTGATATTTACGCAGTTGAATAAGAATGTGAAACGTGAGCGGTTAGTGCTCCCCACTGTTGATGAGGCACTTGGGCTGCTTAGCGGAGCAATGGTGTTTTCTAAACTTGACGCGAACTCAAGATTCCATCAGGTAAAGCTAAGCAAGGGCTGTCAGCTACTGACAACGTTTATTACTCCTTTTGGAGGTTATTGCGTTTGAGCGTCTGTCGTTCGGAATAACATTCTGCTCCTGAGTATTTTCAAAAGGCAGATGTGTGAAATCCTTGGAGTGCCGGAGCCGTAAACCTAATGAACGATGTACTGGTCTTTTGGTTCGTCTCAGAAAGGGCACGACTAGCGACTGTTCCAGATTTTAAACCGATTGGCAGAAGCCGGCGTAACCCTGAATCCGGAAAAAATGTCAGTTTAGTGTAAAGAGCTTTGTTTTTTGGAAAGCCGAGTGAGCAAAAATGGCATACGACTGGACCCAGCTAAAGTTAGGGCGATCAGTCCTATGAGGCCACCGGGAACATGTAAGCGACATGCACCGGTTCCTTGGTCTCGCCAATCATTGCTCGCGGTTTATCCCCGACTGGCAGATATGACCGCGCTGTTACGTCAGTTGCTGCAAAGAGACAAGGAGGTGAAGTTGGGCTGCACCTCAGCAGATGGCCTTTGACAGCGTAAAGCAGGCCATCTGTCCCGATACATGCATGGCAAAGTTTGATCCGCATAATCCAACTATCCTTTCTGCAGATGCATCTTCGTATGGTTTAGGGGCAGTTCTGCTTCAGGTACAACCAAACAAAGAAAGACGGACTGTTGTTTTTTCCAGATCATTGACACCAACAGAAGAAATGAGCTATGCACAAATTGAAAAGCAGTCCCTAGCTCTAACCTGGGTGGCCGAACGTCTTGAAAGTTACGTGCATGGGTTTACATAACGCTGCAAACAGATCACAAACCGCTAGTCACATTGCTACGAAGGACCCCGCTTGATTTGTTGCCGTCGCGTATTCAGCGATTTCGAATGCGTCTGATGTGATTCAGTTTCGAGGTGGAATATGTTGAAGGAAAAAACTTTTATATTGCTGGCGCATTTTCTAGAGCGCCAATGCGACAGCAAAACAGTAAGGACGTACTTTCGGTAGAGGAGATCAACTCGTTTGTTTCTGGGGTGTTGTCAGAGTTGGGCGAGTCGGACCAGTTTCGACTGGTAGCCGAAGAACAGGCAAAGGACGAGACCTGCCGTATGTTGTGCCGTTATCTTCGTGAAGGATGGCCGAGACCAGCTTCAATGTCAAGCGTATTGAGGCCATACTGGCAGGATCGTGCAGCTCTGAGTGTCTGCAAAGGAGGGCTCATGCATGGCACGCGCCTCGTTGTGCTGCACTCGCTCCAGAATAGACTGTTAAGTCTGCTTCACAAAGGCCATCAGGGTATCGTGAGGTGCAGGGCGAGAGCAAGAGAATCCGTTTGGTGGCCCGGTTTAAGCTCTCAGCTTGCTGCCGTGGTTGGCGATTGCCGCATTTGTTCAGTTTCGAGACCAGCCGAGTGAACCTATGATCCCAACTCAGACACCTAATCGCCCATGGCAAAGGGTCGCAGCAGATATCTTCCACCTCCATGGCCGGAACTACTTGCTTTTAGTGGACTATCTATCGCGCTTTCCTGAGTTGTGTTTGCTGACATCTCTTACCAGCACCAACGTTGTTAGTCACATCAAAGATGTATTGCAAGGCACAGTATTCCGGAAGT